ATTTATTTCTTTGCTTTTGCCAATAGAACATAGCATTGGATTAGGAGCAAACTTAAGGGATCACATTACTACTTGCATCGACCTCTAAATGTATTTAAAAGTAAGAAAAATGAGAGGGCCTTTAATTACAGGACTTCCAGAAAATGGGATGTCTGTCACTCAAGAAATGAAATTTGATATTAATCTCCATGTGCACGCCTAAATGGTTGCATTTGAATAAAAGCTTAATATGCTCAAAATAATAACAACAAATGTGTTTATCATGTATTGGTTGAATTTTTATAATCATCACATCTTAGTAGACCTGCCTTTATTAGGAGCTCTGTGTTAGATGTGTTTGGGTTTTGAGGATGGACACATTTCACGAGGATGAGTAAATGAAGCTGGCTTTATTTTGGGAAGAGCTAACCTTTTAAAACTCATGCAGGGCTTATTCATGCCACATCCTGTAAAGTATTTTTACTCTATTCTAGTCTGCTTTCCTGCCCTCCTGCTTCTCTTTCAGGAAATTGAACAACTACAATGTCCTGGAGTTTGGTCTCTTCTCCTGGCAGCATGTTCAATAGAGGCCTGCTTTGTGTGAATGGCAGAATGTGAAGTGGGAAGGAGAGGAGGGGGGTGTTGCATGGTGGGCCTGGACAACAACCTGTGCGAGAAGCTTATAAACTCTGCCAGTCAGGAGTGCAGCGATGTGTGGAATCCTACAGGAGAAGATTGCTCCTTCTCATAGTGTGGGTCTCAAAGGCAAATATCACAGAATCAATGATTAAATTAATATTTTCTTCTGGCTCTGTCAGTAATTTCAAGGGAAAACATTTTCAACAGGCAAATAGCAAATAATATAAATATCAACATTCCTTATTAACATGAAAATTGCATTATGATCCTACCAATCACTAGATAGAGCCAAACGTACTCCCCACTGAAGACTTTTGCTTTTACCTCCGTGAACATGTTCTGTGCCCTCTCACCTGGATTGAAACCCCTTGTTCTCCACCCGCACCTTCCGTTTAGCCATTTTTGGGTGGGGGGTTGCTGAAAGTTGACATCTGATTTGGCTGCTGATAATCAATGAAGCAGAGGCACGATTATTACACTGCAGTGAGATTACGGATTACCATTGCATTGTGGGGAATGTAGTGAAGGTGCATGCAAAACACCAATGGGCCGGTTTCCATAATAAATAGATATTATTCTGGGGGCCATAGAGTATTCCTTCCGAACATCACTTCACCAGGAGGGCCTGCCTGGTAGTACGCATAAAGTGGTGAGTACAAATGTACCAGGCAAGCTGTCCAATTGTGGAAGCTATTCACATCATATCCCAAAAGGGATGCTTTGGAATCCAGAGTCGGTGTCTAATTGAGTGTCAGGATAGGCATACATTATCTACGCGAGGCTCGTACCAGTGTAGGCATCTGGAGTCAAACTAGTGGGCATTAGGATAGACATCTGGTAGACACAAGCAACCTAAAAACCAAGGTGTTGAGCAAGCGAATCGACAAAAAATTGCCGTACCAGGTTAGGCAATGTGCTGATATGCTGCTTGAGAACCAAGGAACGCACCAGGTGCTCAGGGGTAGGCACCATGGGACTAGAGATTATCGGTGCACCAGGAAAGACATCGGGCATGATTGTGAGCACCTGATTGGATAACCTGATTATTCCTCCTGAAATTAGTTTAACAAACATCACAATGTGTTGAAAACAATGCTTTGTTGTGAACTATGATTTGCACAACATTAATTCCCATTTAATCATCATTGTGGTCTTTTGTTGTGAAGGTTGCTGGTTCGAGGCCAGTAGGTGTCCTTCGGTCAGAATTTCAAATATGGAATTGACGGAGTTTAATAAAAAGCGAATGTGTGTGTTGTCCTGTGATGGACTAGCTCCAGCATAACCCTGTGACCCTGAAAATGGAAGAAGCAGGTAATGACTCTTAGGCATTAAATGTCATTTAGGATGGACAACATGGAGATTGGGAAGTCAGGACTTGGTGAACCAATCAAATCGAAGGATAGCCCACCATTACAGTGACTAAGAACTTATCGCAAGAAATGCATTTAGGAAAACACAGAGTGATCTTTATCAGTGTGAAGGGTCTGCCCATGAAGATAAGGCGTTCTGTAAATATTTACACCCCAAGAACTTCTGAGACAAAGCTGTTTGACTTAGAGAGTTTGTAATGTATGGCCTCTCACTACAAGCGCACACATGATAACGTTGATGAATGCTTAAATGATTGCGTTCACTCATATATTAGAAGATTTTTGGATTCAGTTTGAGTGTGTGAGAGAGAGAGTAGTGGCCCGAGGTCTTTTTGCATGTTTGTGTTAAAAGAAAGCTTGTCAAGCATTAATGAACTACTTCTCACAAAAGCAGGAAAGCAGTCTGTTCACTGATTAGGGACTCTCGGGAACACAGCTTATTCCTCTTGGATGTTTTCCACTACACCCCTTTCTGATTTATGTGGAGTAGGGCTGAGTCACAGGCCAGTGTTTTAGACATGCATTGACATATTTTGTTCTTTGACAGACTTGTAAATCCCGAATGTTTCAGCCTCTGGATTCAGCAGACTCAACCATCCAAATGTTTTCATATTTATCAACACTTATGTAACATTCTGTAAAACTATGGGTGTTATGATACACTCTGCTATAGCACAATATGTATTATACGATATATCTCAGTGAATATATCTTCTTCCCTTTCGGGGTCACGGGGGTCTGCCGGTGCCTATCTCCAGCACACATTGGGCGAGAGGCAGGGGTACACCCTGGACAGGTCGCCAGTCCATCGCAGGGCAACATTCACTCACACAGTCACACCCTAAGGGTATTAATCAATTAACCTAATCGCATGTTTTTTGGGATTCCTGGAGGAAACCCATGCAAGCACAGGGAGAACATGCAAACTCCTTCCAGGAAGGTCACCGGTGAGCCTCGAACCGATAACCTTCTAACTGGAAGGCCACAGTGTTACCCACTGCACCACCATGGCGCCTCAGTGAATACATATTATGACTATTTTGTATAGCGATAAACTATACTACGAAATATTGTTACACCATTAGGTGCAAAAGAAAACCTTTTTATGGACAACATTACCAATAAGCCTCTGCTCTCTGCAATCAAGGTAGATCACAATCTTGTCCCTCATAAAAGGCTTAATTTACCTCTTTTAATTATTTTGAAAATTTGAAAGTTTTTGCTTTTTTCTTTAAAGTCTTTACTCAATACTTAAATTTAAATTTTCGCTGCAAATATTTTTGTTTATTTTGTCGTAGCGCATAATACTGACCTTTCAACAATACTGGGTCATAGCTTATAGAAAAGATGTCGAGTTGTTTTTATATATATTGTCAAACCAGGTTTACTTGTAAGTGTCATTTAAACAAGAATAGCAGTCATACTATTTTGTATATATGATCAAAATATAATGTCAACATATAATGATCATACTCTGAGCTATTTTTTAGGACAGACTGGGGGTGTCTCATGTGGTCTTTATGAGTGACAGTTTGTGACCCCTGACCAAAGTAATTTGGGAGAAAAAAAATGTCCAATGCATTGTCTCTGCAATTGTCTACTTTTGACTAATGGTAAATCCACCTCTGGCTACATTATATGTTACTACTAAAGTTCCCATCTCCAAATCTAACAGGATCTTCAATATACCAGTGCAACGGCTTCTACCTAGTTACATCACAAGTCACACGACCATGATGCAAATCCTAAGAGTTAAATTAAGTGTATTTGGTCCCACTCTATATAGAGTTAACCCGACTCTGAAGATGAGTATTTTAAATGAGTTTATTTTGTGCATTTTTTTCCAAATCTGTGAATGAAAATTCCATCTTTTAGTAATGTACCTTTTATTTTTGTATTATGTTTCTATAAGCAAGCGCTAATCATAAATGCTCATCATCGCAGTCTATTTTAACTCTGTTCAGAGTGGATTTGAAACTCTCTGAATAGTTAATTTTTAGTTTGCATTTTCCGGTGGAGATTTAGAAAAAAAAATGAAGAAAATAGATAAATAAGTAACTCTTGCTCAGAGTCATTTGACTCCATATAGAGTGAGTCCAAATACACTCTGAGTAGAGTTAATTTAACTCTTAGCATTTTACTGTGTAGCATCTTTAGGCAGAAGTTGAATTTCTACCCGTTTACCATTCACTTATTGTCACTTTTCTTCTTGCTCAGAGTCATTTGACTCCATATAGAGTGAGTCCAAATACACTCTGAGTAGAGTTAATTTAACTCTTAGCATTTTACTGTGTTTACCTGTTTACCATATGCTTATTGTCACTTTTCTTTTAATTGTATGTTAGGGCGAAGAAATATGTAGCCATCCATTCCTAAGGAAGCCTCAACCTCGACTTTGAACAAAGGGGTAAGATGGCTGGAAGTCTGAAAAAAAGAAAACTTACAATATCCAGAAATAGGTCAGTAAAAGTAACTTGTTACTGAAAAAAAATTGTGTTTTACAGGAATATTGTGCTATTATAGCATACATACACCCTTTTTCAACTGAGCATGTTTAACTACTTAGAGGAAAGCGTTTTCTGATCTATCAGAACCTTTTTGGCTTCACAGGGGTGTCCTGATTTATTGGAGTATTTAAGCCCCTCCTCTTAGTCTTTAGATTCAAAGGATTAGGGGTATTGAATTGAGAAGGGACGAGCTAGGGAGTAAGGGTGGGAGGAATGAAACTTAAATTGAGATTCACACAAATCTTCGGATGGCTTCTCAGCAGGGTACTCTACACCTGGGTCGAGGAAATATCAAGGAAATGATCTCACATCAAAAAAGAGACAGTTTTCATTGGTTGTTCTCATCCAATCCGATATGGTAGAGTAAAATTCTTTGTTTTGTCACATGTTTGAGCTCTCATTGGTTCAAGGTGCATTCTTGCAAGAAACTTCAGATCGGGTTGTAGTATTAATATTTATATTTATATATAATATTTACATTATATAAAATTCTATATAGCACCAAGGTAGTGTGGCCGAGCGGTCTAAGGTGCTGGATTAAGGCTCCAGTCTCAAAAGAGGCGTGGATTCGAATACCACCACTGCCAAATTTAAGGCGGCATGGTGGCTCAGTGGGTAGCACTGTGGCCTTCCAGTTAGAATGTTGTCGGTTCAAAGTTCGCCAGTGATCAGTGTGGGCCTGCGTGGGTTTCCTCCAGGTTCTCTGGTTACCCCCACAATCCTAAAAATATGCGGATATGTTAACTAAATAATATAAATTCCCCTTAGGTGTGAGTGAATGTTGCCCTGCAACCTGTCCAGGGTGTGCCTTTTGCCCAATGTCTGCTGGAGATAGGCACCGGCAGACCCCTATGACTCCAAAAAGGGAATAAGCGGGTTGGAAAATGAATGAATGAACATTCTATATTTCTAACATTAAAGCTTTTCAAACGTGACCGGTTTAAGGATGCACCGAAGGATAGTGGTCAGGCTCCACTTTGGCTCAGCCTTATCTCTTGAAGCTGAGCACCTGTGACAAACAAATACCCTGCTCTCAGGCTTTCCTGTTTTGTTGTCCAAAATGTGCAGTGGTGCGAGTTTCTGTGCACAAGGCAAGGAAGTCGCACCCTCCTCCTCCTCTTCCTCAAGTGCAGAAGTCTAAAAAGCCGTAAGTGAACATTTCCTTCCTTGAGCAAACAGTGCTATGCACATAACCCCATGTGCTCTGCCACTGTGGTAGCGGTATTGTCTTAAGCGTTATCTGAGCACAGCCGGGGGAAAGCCAACACAATATAGTTCAGTGAGTCATAAGAAACGTTTGAGCACATCACATCCATAAACACAAATTCTGATGGGTGTGGTGGAACAAGCTTTTACGGGCACATTGCTGTTTTTGATTTGGTTTTTCCCTAATGGCTAGATTCCACTGGAGCTACGGTGATTCCTATACGGAATAAGAACATGGCAAGTCTCCACAGTGGAGATGATAGGTTCAGGGACATAGAAATTAACTGTCAAACGCGATGATTCTGCCGCGTCATTGTGGCTACAGAGCACAACAATGAATTCAAAGAGCACTTAAAGAGCAGCACACTCAGTAGGGGACTAAACCAAAGGAAATGAGAGGCCCGTATGGGATTTGCGTCTGAATACGGCACTGCACAATGGTACAACCTGCTCAAGCTACCCAATTCATGTGTTCGTGTTTGCTGTGGACGTCTGTTGCTGACTCTTTGGTATCACCACTGTGTTTCTCATTTTGAATTTCATTGGTTTGGTGTACTAAGTGGGTTGTGTGTAAAAAATAAAGAGAAAATGAAGCAATTCTTTTACAGTTACGTGCATAGAAATAAGAACAATTTTCAGTCTCAGAAATCCATCGGGGATATACCAGTTCTCAAAGAAGTGGTTCAAATTAGAGTTTTTAGTTGTTAGAGTTTTTATAATTTTCATAATATTAATTACCGGTAGGTACATTTTCAATTGACAACTGTTTTCATCTTGGCAAGTAATAGAAAAGTATGGTCAAAAACAGCAGGACTTAGGTGGAGCTGAGATGCCAAATCCAAAACCTAGGACCAAATTTGAAAAGAGTCTCAAGTGGCCAGTGGATGAATGGCAGAGCAAAACAATCCAATTCATAAATGTCTAAATTATGTAACCTCTAGAATTATTTTGGGTATTCAGTCATTGCCGACATATTTATTTTATTATGTTGACTTTAATTTTTGTCATATTATGTGCACAGTTTTAAAATGTAACTCAAATGTACAGCACAAGCTCAGTCTGTTTTGATTGGTTGATTAAAAGCATAAAGTTAAACTGTCTGGCTAAATTGGCTTAACCATCCACTTAAAACGGACCTGCTTACACTACACCAATTCATTCTCAATTCAGAAGAACATAATGGAAAATCTGTTCAAGATCTTGATTTACACTCATCTGTGTTTTCTTTCAATGTATAGGAATTCCATAAAAATATGCATGTTTAATCTTCAGATTTGTTAAATTATTATAGTTATTCGTAACTGTATATTGCATTGTGAAATGTTCATTTTGGTAATGGTTTTGTATCATTCGACTGAAATTAAACAGGCACGTCAGTTTAAATGGATTTATCTTTAATGGCACACGGCAGCACCCTGCACAAGTTTTATGATGTTGACTCAACCAGGGGTAAACCACCTTTCTGATCCCTCTTTCTCCTGGCTGCTAAATAGGTCAAGCACACAAATTAACATCCAGCGAGCTATGTTAGAGTCTACGCTGACGTCAGTATGAAGCGTACACGAAACTGACCTTGAGCGCAAGGCTGATGAGAGAGAATGGCCTTTCTGTTTCTCCTGACTGGAAATGGGATTTTGACATGTAATCATTACCAGCCTCCTTTAGAAGGATAAAAAAGACGACTGGATGGAACAGGTAAAGACATAAACTTTAAAAGAACATGCACAGAAATATCAAAATAATGACGAAAAATATTTAAATTTGGCCTGAAGTTTGTCAAAACTGCTGGAAAGGCATAAATAAAAAACTCATGTTAAAAATGTATGTGAGACATTCTAGACTTGCCAATATGTTTTGCATTTCTGTGATAAATCTTCCCTTATTTAAATATAAATGCATTTTAATGGACGGAAATTTCAAGAACATTATTAACTAAAAATCTTGCACAATAGAAATGTGATTAATTGATATTTTTCAGTATTTATACATAAAATTGCAACTAAATGTCTCCCATTATCGATTGTCTCCAGCTGGCTCATCTTTACTTCACATGAATGTAAATGAAGAAGCTACTTAAAATATAAATGTTTTGTTTCAACTCCAGGACTTTGAGTATAATATTTATTTATATTGTTTGATTTCTATAAAAAAACTAAAAAATATTTAGTTTCTGTCTTAAAGTATATGTTATCTCTGTTAATGCTGTTGTTAACTTACAAATAGTTAAAATAATAAAAAAAACATAATTTTGTGCAATATCTCTGTATAAAGGCCAGCTTTTTATTTTTTAATAAAAAACTGAAAATGAATTAATTGTCAACTCTGTCACTGTGGTATTGTAGCAAATCTTTCATTCTATTTGAAAATAAAAAACAATTTTTGAGACATGCCATGTGGTAAAGTTTAATATGAGGGATAAGATCAAATCAACTCTTCATTTTCCGGCCTGCTAATTCCCTTTCGGGGGTCATAGGGGGGCCTATTTCCAGCTATCATCAGGCGGGAGGCGGGGGTACACCCTGAACAGATTGCCAGTCAATCGCAGGGCAACAATCCCTCACACATTCACACCTAAGAGGAATTTAGATTATTCAATTAACCTAACAACATGTTTTTGGGAGGAAACCCATGCAAGCACAGGGAGAACATGCAAACTCCATAGTCACCAGTGAGCCTTGAACCTTTTAACTGGAAGGCCACAGTGCTTCCCACCGTGCCACATTGTATATTAAGGTATTTGTTTAATGTCTTATTTATTTAAAAACATAAGATGAAGGCCTTAAGCTGAGCAAACACTGAAATTGTAAAATATAAGAGCTTTATAAGAATACAATCAAAATGTACCCAGAATTCCAAAATGACCCATGTCTATCTACTATCTTCCCTTTTGTCGTTTTTCCATAACCTTGGTTGTGTCCAAAATAGCATATTTTGTGATATTTGGCATATTTTGTAACAGCTTTCCTGTGGCTGTCAGTAAAGAATGTTGCTAGCTGCACCAAGATGATGTGAACACCAGGGAAATTCAGACCTCAAATGTGTTCATTCCTTAAAATGTGAGTTGCTTTGTTACAAGCATCTGACAAATTCATACATGTGCAAAATCCAAGTAGTCAGTCTGAATTCAAATATGAAGTAGCAAGTTTACTTTCATTAGTAGTAGGATATGTTTGAATACAACGAATAATGGAGTCTTCCGAATTTTGAATGAGAAGAGTGAGACACAAGCGATACAGGTTGATCACATGATACTGAAAATATGGTGTACGGTACACTCCAAAACCTCATTCATATTACAGCACACACACCCAGAGGGCAAAATATAATCTGGCAAAGGCATACAACATATGTGCCAAATATGGCCCATTTTAACACACAGGCCTAATATAGTGTTAAACTTGGGCAAGACATGGCGGAATGGTTCCCATTGTGTAGTACTGTAATAATGTAGTCATGTATTACCTGGTTGTGGGGACCAGATATAAACTGATATGTTTGCATACAGTACTCTTTATAATGATTGTTAAATGCATTCCGATTTTTAAAATAGTAGAGCGTACTTGCTTTTAACAAACATACAGAATGTTTTTAGGCATGGAAGTCATGCTTACAGATTGCAGAGGGTGCATGTACATTCCATGAATAAATAAGCAAAACACTAAAATGAGTTAAAATAAACACATTTCTAGCTTTTTTCGAGACAATGTATGCCACTCCCATACCAATCACTGCCAAGAGGAAATGCTGGAGCAACTCTCTCCATGTCGTAAAACAACATTTATGTTAGTGTCATTTCCTCAGCACACCAAGCCAGACATCAGAGTGCACCCGATTCTGACCGATCTACTGTAAACCCAGACAAGCACTCAGAACTAAACCTCAGAACTACTTTTCAATAAACAATGTACTGTTTACTCAATAAGTATGGCTCTCCAACTCGAACGTTTTGAGGTAATAGGTTTCCAAAAAATGTTCCTGTAAAACTTGTCGTCATTAAAACGTTGCTATTTATATTCACGAGTAACTTGAAGTCCTTAAATGTTCTGTCAGTATAGACATAATCACAAGTGGAGGTCAACCACAACTCGAGTTCCTGTCTATTGTTCGGGGCTACAAAACAGAGCAGGAAATAGCTTTGTTCTTCTAATAGATGTTGTCTGTGAAAATGTTGTTATGCGATATGAGGAACCCATGCAGTCAACAACATTTCACAATGTTCCCTAGTTCTCTAAATATGACAAACAATCTAAACATTATTGGAGTTAATCAGACTCTTTCCATAAAGGCTGGAAATAGTTCAAACCCTTAAAGGTTCTATATGATGACATTTTCAAAGCATTAAACATTTGAGCTCTCTATACTAGCATTGCACTGTTAGTAA